TTAGCTGAATTGTGTACATTTTTGGAAAGACGTTTCTCCCAGCCTGGATTTTTAAGGCCTATTTACGAGTCTGATAGAAGTGGATTGTAAGATAATCTCTTCCGAATAGATCGTGGCCACAAAGATGAAGTTGTTCCTTTTATCTAACGCCCCCCCCTCCCCCCGCCCCCCTGCACCTTTTTGTAACCGTTTCTACCAGAAGTCGCCTTGGAGTCTGAGATTCTCCGAGAAACTGCTCGGCCGCCGTTTCCATTCTGACAGACGGTTGGGGCCTCACTGGTCTGCAGGGTGTGTCCTCTCTGACTCTGACCCCAAGTCCTGCCTGTGGCTTGACCCCACGACATCCCCACATCCGCGCCGGGGCCCCAGCACGGGGCCTGGCTCGCTGTTCCCGTAAATACTTCTCTACACGGCCAACACGAAAACGGAGGGGCCCCGGGGTGGCACGTCGGTTGAGTGTCCAACTCCTGATTTTGGCTCAAGTCACCATCTCAACGATGTGAGTTGGAGCCCCGCGTTGGGCTCTGTGCTCACAGTGCAGAACCTGCTTGGGATTCGCTCTCTCCCCGCTCTCTCTCTGCCCCTCCCCTGCTCATACTCTCTCTCTCAAAATAAATAAACAAAAGAAACAGGATGAAATCACCCCCAGCGGGAAATGGGGAGGCTTCCCCGCTTCCTGCGAGGGATTCAGTTCTCCATCTAAGATCTGGAACCCTCTGATGACCAGACATGCAGAGGTCGGCTTTCCCTAACCTCACACGGTGGGTTCTACAACCTGCCTGGACCAGGACTGAGCGCACAGGGCGCTGCACTCCGGGCTGTTCGTGCTGGTAACATGACCACACAAGACTTTTCCTCTAAATGCTGCTTGTAGAGCCTAAACCCTAGGCAAGAAGGTCGTTCGCTGTATCTTCTTTTTTTTTTTTTTTTTTTAATTTTTTTTTTCAACTTTTATTTATTTTTGGGACAGAGAGAGACAGAGCATGAACGGGGGAGGGGCAGAGAGAGAGGGAGACACAGAATCGGAAACAGGCTCCAGGCTCCGAGCCGTCAGCCCAGAGCCCGACGCGGGGCTCGAACTCACGGACCGCGAGATCGTGACCTGGCTGAAGCTGGACGCTTAACCGACTGCGCCACCCAGGCGCCCCTGTATCTTCTTTTTGACGTAAACTCTTCCTTTGGGCCAAACTGTGACTCACGGATCCCTTCAGAAAAGATATCAATTTCCCAAGACCTTCTAACGTGAACGGTGACCTGCCTACGCGTCCAGGGCGATCACAAGAACGTTTTGAGTGGCTGGAATTACATATTCCCATTTAACCGTTTTATTGTGTCTTCCAGGGTGGTGTCTCACCCAAGACGGGTGAACCTCTTAGGAGATCCGGGTGAAAACCCGTGTTCTTTGACTCAGAGCCTTTAATTTAGGAGCTGCGGGGTGTGAGGCACTAATGGATCCTCTGCACTAGCTGAGAGCTTGTATGCAAATGAGATCTTGGGGAGAAAAGGTGAGCTGTGTCTGGGTGGGTAAATTAAAACCTCGTGGGAAAGAAACACTTCTCTTGGCATTAAAAAGTACCCAGCGAGTAGTACAAAGTGGGATGCCCGAGGGGCGCCTGGGTGGCTCAGTAGGTTCAGCGTCCGACTTCGGCTCAGGTTATAATCTCGTGGTTTGTGAGTTCGAGCCCCGCGTCGGGCTCTGGGCTGACGGCTCGGAGCCTGGAGCCTGTTTCAGATTCTGTGTCTCCCTCTCTCTCTCTGACCCTCCCCCGTTCATCCTCTGTCTCTCTCTGTCTCAAAAGTAAATAAACGTTAAAAATAAAATTTTTTTTAAAAAAAAACCAAGTGGGATGCCCGAAGCAACGGCAGAGTCTGCAGCCAGGGTATCTCGTAGCCGCTGCACCTGCAGACAGAGCGGTCAGAGGAAGGAGAGGCGCTGGGGACATGCGCCAGGTCCTGGGGCTTTTGTCGTGCTTGCCTTTTACTCTGGGGGAAGTACATCTCGGCCCTGCCCTTGGAGTTTCAATTCTACGTGTGTAAGCAAATCATCTTAAACATGAGGCAAATGTAACGCATGTGCTTAATTCTGGATTCACTTCTCAATACAAGGGCACGATCCAACCCCTTCCTAGAAGTTCGTTTTCAGCGAACTTCTGGTCCCTATTCAGATGGAGCATCGAAGACGGCAGGGGTCCCTCTCGGCGGCAGCCCGGATGGTTGAGAAGCTGCGGGCCTGGGAGCCTACACGCCCGAGAGCCAATGGCACTGGTCTGCCATGCGGCCCGGGCACCAGGAGTTTAAAAGCCAAGGCTCCGAACCACTGCTTCGACAAGTGGCCTGTCCCTGGGGCGCCTGGGTGGCTCAGTCAGTGAAGCGTCTGACTTCTGCTGCCGTCAGGATCTCACGGTTCAGCACTGTCAGTGTGGAGCCTGCTTGGGATTCTCTGTCTTCCTCTCCCTGTGTCCCTCCCCAATTTGTGCTCTCTCTCTCCCTCTCTCAAATAAGCAAACTTAAAAAAAAAAAAAGTGGCCTCTCCCATGAGGGCGGCTTGCCTGGTGGGGAGGTCTTTCCAGATGAGCCCCCTGACCCTCCCAGGACTTTGGGTCAGGAAGAAGTGAGGGTAGGGCGTGGGGAGACGCAAGGAAAGAGGAACTCGGGGGTGGGAGCAAGACACGGACTGCGTCCTTCATCGGGAAAACGCGTAAGAGCTGCCCTCCCCACATGGCGGAAAGCTCGGGGTCAACGCCAGGCAAGTCCCGCTACCAAGAGCCGCCCCCAGAGAGCCCATGTGGTCTGCGTCTGTAAGCCTTGAACGCCTGTGAGGAAGCTTTCAGATCAGAAGGGCCCCGAGGCAGTGAGCTCTTCCAGAACAGGGTGGAAGGGCAAGGGGGGTGTTCAACGGGAAGCCAGCAGCGCCAACTGTCGCGGGACCAGAGGCCGCGAGGAGGCGGCGCCCCTTGGCTCCCTCACACGATGCCTCCTTAAAATGCAGTTTCCCTCCGTATGTGAAGGCTGTCGTGTCTCAGCTCTATCTGGAGATTCAGTCCTGGCGTCACTCAAGCCTGTGCGTCAGCAAATTTGAAAACGATACACAAAACGTTTAAGCGTAAAGTTAACTGCGTATGAAAGTAGAATCATCTGCCATGTTTGTGGAAAAGCGCCGTTTCTCGTCTGCGCTTCGGCATTAAAACAGCGATCGTGTTTGAAACCCCTCTTGATGAGGTTCTGGAGCGTTGGCACCTCTTGGGTGGGGGCTGGAGGCGGCGGGGGGGTGGGGGTGGGTGGCGCTTTCTCGCAGAGCGCCGCACACAACGTGAACACACGGCAGCCGTCTCCCTGGGCTGATGGTGGCGCACTTTATTCGTTCAGAAACACGCCCATCCCCAAAGTGCGTCCGGCTTGGGAGCATGTTTATCTAGGGACGCAGACCGATGGCGTTCAGGCACGGCGTGATCAAGCATCTACTGCAGCATTCCAACAGGGAATGGGTTCAAGCTTCCGAACAACCAGAGTTTTCTAACCAGCAGCACCGCTGGGTGGCCCCTGAGCCATCACGAGGCTCTCTCTAAGGGGCACTGCCAGTTCCAGATTCAGAGGGAGCCGCCTCGGGCTCGGCTTCTCCCTCGAGTCCCCTCCTTGCTGTGTCCCCAAGGAGCCTCGGCCCCGGCAGAGTCACGAGTGCAAACCCCAGCCGTGAGGAGCGGCTGCCTTCCTGGCTCGGCTCTGAGCAAGGTGGACAGGGAGCGTCCAGACCCCGAACGTGTCCTTGCGTCCTGGATGGAGCCCCAGTCGAGGTGACTGCTTGCCCCCAGGTCTGCCGGCGTCTAGACCGACCAACGAAGCACCACGTGCCGTGGGCTCCCGAGGCTGCTCTACCTTCTCAAGTCCCCACTGCTTTCTACCTCCCACCACGCGGTGGAACTCTCCGCGCCCTTTGCTGCCACGGCACGTCCCCGGGAACGCGGTGACTCAAGACCCACCAGGGGCCGGTGTGGCCTCCAAAGGCGAGTAGGCACCGGTTCTGGGGACGCCGTGCTGCTGCGGCAGGGACATCACACCAGTGACGGCTCCACTTGGCTGAACTCGCCACACTGGGTCTCCAAGGTGGGGTGTTGGGTAACGTCACCAGACGGCCGGTCCTGCCACGGGCTGGAAGCTTGTGACCTGCTGGGCCCCCACCCCTGGGTCCCTGACGCTGACCGCAATGACCCAAGCTCCATCTGGGGGTTGCTGGAGTGTCTTCCAGGCTGTGAGCACCGTGTACCCCGTCCCCTTGCTCCCGCTTTCCCAGGAGGACCTGCAGTGTGGACTGCCCGCTTTCCCAGCCGCTTTCCCAGGAGGAGCCTGCAGTGTGGACTGCCCGCTTTCCCAGGAGGAGCCTGCAGTGTGACTGCCCACTTTCCCAGGAGGAGCTGCAGTGTGGACTGCCTGCTTTCCCAGGGAGCATGCCATGCCTCTCAGCTATGGAACTGCTGAGCGAGCCGTGCTGCCGGGAGACTCACCCACAGCCCTATCTCTGGTGTCCCAAGGAGCAAACCTCCCCGAGCCGGGGGCCCCGTGCACGTACCTGCCAAGACCCCTCTGTGCGGACGTGCGATTTTGCTTTTGCTTTTTGAACAACGACGGGTCCTAAGTCATCAGAAGACCCACAGGGAAGCGTCTGCACTGGGTGGTTTGCAAATGAGGCCCTGTGGTACCTGGGGTCCCACGGCAGCTAACGTGGTCTCCCCCATCCCCACCCCCCACCCCCATGAGCCCAGGAGCTGCCGCGTCTCCATCAGGACCGATCTGTAAACACATCCGGGATGTTATCTGGAAGCACAGACATCCGGATGAGGTTCTGCCTTATAACTGATGTTGTTTATCTAGGATTCCGATAAAACCGGTGTGACTTGTCCCGGGATGGACCCGGTGGCCCAGAGCTCTGTCTCTGGGTATCTGCCCGGGGCTGCGCATCTGGCGGCGGCCACAGGCGGGCGCGTGAGGGCACCAGGCGAGCGCCCTTAGTCCTGGATGCTTCCCTCGAGGGTCCTGATGAGGTTCTGGTAGGTGCATCTCTCCGCCTGCCACGAGTGACGTGCTCTCACGTACTTCCTTCCGTTGGCCACGATTTCTCTCTCTAGTGCGGGGTCGCTGACCAGTCTCTTTGCCAGCTGCACAAACTCCTGCCGAGAGACGGGTGGGAGAGAGACAGGTGTAAGCAAACACACACACGTGCTGGGTGACCGTCCGGGGAAAGCTCGCGGAGCCACCAACCATGCCTCCCCCCTCTCTTCCCTGGATTGCCGAGAGCTGCTGTTTCCTTCCTCTGCAATGACTCTTAGGTCCACTCTCTGGTCCCTCGCTCATGAGTGTCGGCTGAGAGGTGACCTGGGTCCTGCTCCAGGATCTGAGCCCCACACGCTGTCCGATGCTACCCCTGCCCCATCGGTTTCCCACTGTGCTGGGCCTTCTTTCCTCTCTCTCGGGCGCAGAGCCTGTCTTCAGATGCTCTGCCGTGGGGGGCGAGTGCCAGGCTGCAGAGTCAGAGCTGGGCTCAAATCCTTCTGCAGGACCTAAGTGAGCTGTGTGCCTTTGGCCAAGCCAGTTAACTCTCTGAGTCTCACGTTTACCCTCTCTTCGGGGTCAGTGGCACCAGATGGGTCAGCCCAACCCTGCCCCAGACTCCCCGGGTGAAGGAGGGAGAGGAGACCGAATGTCCTTGGTTTTCTGGGCTTTTCCTCCGTTAACTAACTGTACTATCTATTGACGTTATCTATTGACACCCTCAGACAATCGTCACTAACCCAAGTGCGGTCCTGCTGACGGGTTTCGAATATCAAAGCCCTTCAAAGCTGGAAAGAATTAGAATGATTATTTTTCGGTTGTTCAACAGTATTCAGAGAGAGGAGGGTCACACGCATACGTGTTAATACTGCATTTCAGCCAAGAGCCAAGTTCGTGAGCCAGGAGGCCTGCGTTTACCCTCACACCCCACTTCCAGATGGGGACGCTTCCTAACCTCTCTGTGCCTGTGTTTCCTCATCTGTAACTGAGGGACAATGACAGCATCTGCTTCGTGATATGCTTATGGGATTGAACGAGTCAGGTCAGAGGGCCCCGGGCACAGCCCGGCACACGCTTGGCCATCACTGTCTCCAGGACTCCGGGAAGCCTGTGCAAACGCCAAGAAGACAGCCAGGACTCGGATTAACATACGATGCTTTGCTGTTTGAAAGGAATGTCCACATACTCTCAAAATTATTGTTAATTAAACGTTGAATGCTCTTTATAGCTAGCAATATAAACAGCGATATTTATGATAGAGTGGAATTATATTTTTATGTGTTATGTATATAGTTTTTAGTAAATGGGTGTTCTTCTATAATAAAAACGTAACATATTTATTCTCACCTTATAGTAGAACAACATTCTTATAAAAATTATTCGAGAGGCTTATGGCTTTGGCATATTATTTTACGACTCTGGTCATATCTTGGATTTATCTAACGCACGGACATTATGATTTCTACAGAATGTGTGACTGTTTGACAGCAAAATCCTGAATGACGGAGCTTGTACGGATGGAATGTGACAAAGTGCACTGTCTCCTCTCAGCACAGAAGACCAAACAGAACGCAGACTTAAATAAATTAGCACGAGAGACTCAGGTGGGGAATCAGAAACACCGTGGCCATCACATAACAAAACCCTGGGTGAGTGGCCGGAGGTAAAGGGAGAGAAGTATCAGGGAAAAGAAGAGGGGAACCTGACTGGTGGGTGGTCAGACTCCCTCCCGGGGGCTCTGGGACTGTTTTCCTCTGGACTAAACCAGCTTCTGCGTGACCGCCAAGGCCACACGCGGAGGGTACACCCATGGACCCTGAAGAACGCCGGTGGACAGATGGCGGTGCACCTGCCGGGGCCGACTGCACACGAGGGCGTGGCCACAACCCCCGTCCCCACGTACACCCTGCTCTGTAGTACGACTCAGCCACTCCTCCCGCACACCAGGTGGGGGTGGGTCCCCAGCTCTTGAATCCCTGCTTGACCGGCGGGATGTGTCACGGGTGATGTGTCTGACCTCCACGCAAAGCCCCCGGGCATCTCCTGCTCGCATTCGGGCCCTGAGGTCGCTGCTTGGAGAAACCCGAGCTGGCCTGCCTGAGGACGACAGCACGTGGACAGAGATGCCCGCCAGGACCAGGGCGGAGGCGTGCCTCACCAAACACGCCGGGCAGCGAGGCGGTGAGAGTTTCAGCAGAGCTCCTCGGAAACCAGCACAGGTCCCAAGGCATCAGCGGGCCGGCCAGAATGCCCTGGATTCTGCAGAGCTGTTGGCCGTAGAACTTGCCAGAACACTGATCAGCTAGCTGACTCTCCCCCCATGGGGCAAATACTGGGGGCGGGGACGTTCATCAGGGGCTTCATGCAGCGTAACGGTCTACTCTTGCCGGTCGTTCAGAATAAGTTAAAAGGTGTGAAAGGCACATCCGCTGAGACAGTTAAGAGGAAACAGAAATGTGGGGGCCCGGGGGGCTCAGTCGGTTAAGCGCCCGGCTCTTGGTTTCAGCTTAGGTCATGATCTCGCGGCTCGTGAGGTCAAGCCCCGCATCGGGCTCTGCATTGTCAGCGGATTCTCTCTTTGCTGATTGGGATTTTCTCTCTCCCTCTCTCTCTGCACTACCCCTCTCCCCACTCTCTCTCTGAAAAATAAATGAGCTTTAAGAAAGAAAAGAGAAGAGAAGAGAAAAAAGAAAAGAAAAAAAGAAAAGAAAAGAAAAGAAAAAAGAAGAAGAAAAGAAAAAAGAAAAGAGAAAAGAAAAGAAAAGAAAAGAAAAGAAAAGAAAAGAAAAAAGAAACAGAAGCCAGGTGTGGGCATCCCACGTCCCACATCCCACCGTAGAGAGCTCAAAGACAGATCCAGATCCAGACAGAGTTCTAGGCCAGCGTTGGAAACTCGAGCGCCCACCCGAGCCACAGAAAATACAGGCCTGGGCCTGGACTGGAGGTCACATTCTCCATGCTCCTCAAGAGAGGCCCAGATTCCGGATGTTTACATAAAAGCTCTTCGTGATAAATACCAACAAGTCATGCACAACGTGAAGCACGTGGCAAAGTAAGTGAGACGCAGGTGTGGCCCTGAGCCACCCCAGGGCCACAGGTGTGCAAACCAGGGCTCAGGTCACACGTTTCTAAAGTTAAACACGAAACTCAGCGCGAAAGAGCGTGGTTTCGTTTTCCCAACGATTCAGCGAGCAGTTTGCCATTTTCTGATCCCCTTCCTCCCCGAGGAGTCTTCCGTGGCTGGTGGGAAACTCGCCACGGAGTCCGTCTGACCCGCCTTCTCTCCCGGTGGCACCCGCCAAGGTCCAGGGCATGGCGAGCCGGGGCAGTTTCACAGAACTGACATTTAAAGCCCTGTTGGGACCTTGTCACAACAACGTCCCCCTAACGCCACAGGGCAGGGGGGAAGCCTCCCTGGAAAGCAGCGCCCTTGCAGCCGGAATGCCGCATTGGTGCTTAACTAGATGGTTCTCAAGAGTTCTACCCTCCAACCACCTTCTCTGAGCCATTTATCCTTATTCCTCCAAGAGAAGCCAGACCCGACCATATGAAAGCCGAGCTTCGGGCTATTAAACAACCCCCTCGCTCAGGCCACTTTGTAGGACGGCACCTGGCTCGTGCCCAACCGGTCACCCCACAGACGAGGCCCCCGAAGCCGGCGATGCCCCGGGACGAGGGACAGCGTGCCGGAGGCCTGGGCGCGTGTTCTGACCCCCCGGGCTGCGTGGCACAGGCGGGGAAAGGGCAGCCCATGTGGTCCACGTGGTGGGAAAGCTAATCCCTTCCTCGTTCTCTCCGGCTCCCGAGCAAGTCAAGGAGAGAGCCTCGGGGAGGTGCAAGCCTGCTGCAACTCTCGTCTCCGCGAGGACGGCTGGAGTCTGGCCCAGAGCCTCCAGCGGGGCTGGGACGGGCCGCAGATCAGCAGCAAACGGCAGCCGGCGCCTGTCACGTGCTCTCTGCCGGGCAGCGGCTCATGATCAGAATCCGGGATTTGGGGGATTTAACGATGGCGTTTGTGCCCTTTTCCATTTCCGCGCGCCCTGCGGTGGCTTCAGACGGCGCCCCGTACGCGACAAACCACGATTTCCGAATCAGAACGTCCAAACGGTCACCCTAAGCAGGATAAACAAAGCCACAAATAACTTCGCGTCGGCTCAGATACGACTTCACTGCCAAGTCGGTTTTGGCACGAAGCTCACGGAAAATTAGATTGTCTTCCAAGCGCTTTTCTGGATTTCGGAATTGCAGAAAGGGATGGGGACCCTGCGCTGTTCTCACGGCTCCTCGCACAGACAGGGAGGCAGGAGCACAGAGAGGTCCAGGAACTGTGCTCAGGGTCACACAGTAAGAGGCAAAGTGGCCGAAGCCGGAATTACACTCAGACCTTTCAGCCTCCGGTCTCGGGAAGCAAAGAACCAGAATGGGAGAGAAGGCGTTGGGAGGAGAGGTGGCCGGGGGACGGTTCTGGGGGATGCACGGTGACCACAGCAGGGTCAGGAGCCTCACAGAGTGAGCCAGAAAGAGCAAAGCCCTCGAGAAATGCGTAAGGAGAGCGGCCATGAAGGTAGCCTCGCCGCCCTTCGGGGACACGAGATACGAGGCTGGCTGCGGCGGGCTGTGAGAGGCAGGCCCGGGGGTCAGGGCAGAGCCCGGCCGAGGCCCCCTCCGGCCCCTGCAAAGCCTCCTGACCAGTGCTGTCCTGCTGAGTCCGGGCGTGGCCGCCTCGGCCCACAAACCCATAGGGGAGGGTGACAGCCACTGCCCTCGTCCACACGGATGTCCGCACACAGCCTCACTCGTGGCGGTCACGCTCTCCTTCCCTCGGACCTCAGCCACCAGCCGTGCCTCCCGGGGGCGGTAGCTGAAGGCCACGCTTTCCGGGACCACCAGCTCCGGGAACGGCCCCAACAAAGCAGGAGCGAGTACTTGGCAAGGAACCCAGGCATCGGGTCAGCGTGCCCCGCCCCCCACCTGCTCTGCTGGACACACACCCGACCTCTGCTGTGCGGCGCCCCGGGGAGAAAAGGCGCCCTGTCTCTACATCCACGGGAGCGAGACTCCGTCCCGTGGCTGTGGACACAACAGCAGCTCACGATGTGTCACCAAACCAAGATGCGACAGAGTGGCCCGTCCACGCGGGAAGGGGTGGGCCATGTGTGCTCGTGTCCTGGAGAAAGAGGAGGCTGTCTCCAAATGGCCAGTTGTGGCCACTTGTTAATTTTTATGCTGTCAACTTTCCTATAAAAAATGTACCATGTAAACAACCACAGCCTAGCACCGGGACACGGAGACCGCGGGGACCCCACCAGATCTGTGCCCCCCACGTTCCTGAGTCCCAGGCACCCTACTCGTGAGTTCTCGTTCGTTCATGCCGTTCCCTGCGGCGCACTGCACTGCCTCCAGCTCTCCCGCGACGCACGCCCTCACGCACCCCAGCTTCCGCGCGCGGGGCCCTGCCGACCCCCAGTGCCTTTCCCTGCAGGGAACCTCCCTCTTTCCAGACCGGCCTTGTCCACCGCAGGCAGGACCTGTGAGCGTGACAGGAGTCCATCCCTGGGAAGCACGGGGCCAGCCTCCCATCAGGGGTGGTGCCCCTCGTGCTGAGGGCCGTGAAAGGGACACACTGCCCTATCCTGCCACCACCTGCCTAGACCGTGAGCCCCAGGGGGCCTGGACCCTTTCTCTCCCAGCATTTGTCCCCAGGACTGAGCTCAGCGCCTGCTACACCGGAGGCTCAGTAAAAGTCCTCTGCCTCACCCGCCTGGTGCGTGAACCGGTTCACGTGCCTTGTCGCACAGACACGGGGAGAACCCCCCACTCTTGTCCTTCCCGCCCAAACCCCTCTTCCTGGCTCATGAGACCCTGCGGCCCGGAGGGCAAGACGCAGCCTCGGGCCTAGGAATGCGCCACCTGGGACACGACCTCGCTGGGAATGTCCATCTCTCCTTCCTGCAGAGACGGGGCCGCCCTCGTCCGGAGCAGACATCAAGCCGGCGGCCTGCACGGCCAGTCTTCCCCGGCATGCTGGGACAGGCCCGTGCTGTGTTTAATGACTTTAAAAACCGAAATATCGAGATTTACAAATTGGTAAAAGCCAAGTACAATTCTGGGATTTCCAGCCTGTCTTCAGACAGGACAACGACCGTGAGTCCAGCCGAGGGCCCGGGGTGGCTGGCACTCACTCCCCCCAGGGGGTGTGGTCTCCACCGCGTGCCCCACACATGAGGGCACCAGCCACCTGGCCCCGAGAGAGCCCCATTCACACCCGCTTCTGCTCTCCTCTCTCTCCCTGCTCCCGGCCACGCGCACACGTCACGCGCCTCCTCCCCCGACCTCACTTCTGCCGTCCGGGCTGACCAGGTATGACCGTGGCCCCTGCCGCCGCCCTGATCGTTTACCTTCTGGCCAGACACGGGCACCACCAGGGGCTCTGGGAGAAGGCCTGCACACAGAGCTGGCTTGGCTCCGAACCCGATGGCGGGAAGACGTGAGCCCTCAGGGCTCAGCATGCGGTTGGCCCCCCCCCCC